ATGTCTGTCAATCGTTTCGCAGAGAGAAATTGCCAAAGACGGATAGAACGTTAGAGGAATGGAAAAGTACGTGTTGGGGAGCGATCGATTGCCGCAAAGGTGCAGGCAGCATTGAGTAAGGAGATGATGATGATGCACTTCACCGTTAATCAATCATGCGAACTTTCGATTCGATAGAGAAGTCTTCGACACACGCATTGTAATAAGCATGAATCGTGTAAATCTCTTAGGTGTTCCAGACTATGAGATCGATTTAAAAACTCTGATGAGAGTTTATGCTACTGAAATCAACCTGTGCACATGCACTTAAAATATCAATGACATGACCATTTGTAGGCCGACGTGCATTTCACTTTTATCCGTTTCGGAATTCTACTTCTATTGAAAACCCGCTGATAGTATGCAACAGTATGCAATCAATTCTTGAACGGTTTATGAACGATTAAGAAAGGCAACCGATGTTCGGAAGGGAGTATGGCGTGTATCCAAAATTTAAATTGAACACAATTTCAATTTATGAATTGTATTTGGCAAAATTGATGCACTGATGCGAAATGCGCAATATTAATGATGGCCAAAATGTCTGCTTGAAGAACACTTTATTGGGAATAGATTTGTCATGACTATTAGTAGTAAAGTTATGAATTTTATCCACAGAGTTACTTCTTTTTTCATTTGTTTCGTTTTATTCACTGATTTTGACGTACGACGTTTCAACGGCGAATTTACATTGTTGTTTCTCGTCTCTTCATTAAGTGGTCGTTTTTTTTTTTGCTGCAGGTATGTTGTTGTCAGCAACGAACTGTGCTATAAATTATGATGTCTGGATGGCTGTTGGTGTTGTCATTTGACACTTCTCGTTCGGCCATCCTGATTAGACAGTTTCTTTAAAGGGCACAACTTTCATTCGGTTGAGATAGCGGATAATTCGTATGGTTTATTGCCGTTTTAGGAATACGAGGTTGCATGCGTGAGAAGCGAATTTGTTGAGTTATTGATTGAGCAAAATAATTGATGAGATTGAGCAATTGCAGGTGCAGTGTTAAGGTTTTGATTTGATGTGCTGAAAAGCGGGTGAAGAAACATTCGAATAAAATGGGTGCATATCTGAACAAACCAATTACGGATAAAGAAACTGAGGTCGGTGAAAATGGTCGTGTTCGTTTCGCAGCGACCACAATGCAAGGATGGCGGGTCAATCAGGAGGTTTGTTTTTCACTTGTTTCATCCGATTTCATCCCCAGAATCAGTCTTGACTGAGTGGTCTCGCGGCGGAAATTTTTGCATGACGTAAAGAAATCCTGGAAAGGGAATGCAGAACGGAAAAAAANGTAAATATTGGATTTTTAAGTTTGTCAGTCTTCATGGAATTATTTCAGTGACAGAATTTAGAAAAGAAATGGAGTGATTTAACGATTCATCGTAATCAGCAGTAGTTGATTCGAGAGGATGATGTTGTTGATATGAATATGTTACAAAACCAAATTTCAGGATGCACACAATTGCATACTTGAATTTGATGAGAACTGTTCGCTTTTTGCGGTTTACGATGGGCATGGAGGTTTGCTTTTGAGGATCATTTCAGCAATTGTTTTGATTTATTTCACTGAAATATTTCACTTCTTACGGAGTTAGTCCCATCATTGGGCAGCATTTGAACGTGCCTTTTGTAAAATTTTTGTAGTTTTTTTCATTGATTATTTTCGTTTTGTGCTCTCATCCTATTCCTCGATGAACTTAAATAAAAAAAAACTTCAACCTTTCTTAGTCTCGGAATTGACGCGGACGTGTGAATACGGTTTAACGCTATGACTGAGAGTTCCACTTATTTTTAATAAAGATTTGCTGACAATTTATTTTCTTAATTAAAATTAATCGTTGCATAGCATGCAAATTAAGCAATAAAATCACATAGTGTCTATTTATACAGATTTATAAAATGCATATAATTTACTGAAAGCAACCATTTAAGGCAGTGAAGTGGCTCGCTATACGGCTCTGCATTTACCTGATTTTTTGAAAGCAAAAGATTCGTGGAAAAGTGGAGATTATCAGAAAGCGTTGGATGAAGCATTTCTTGAATTTGATGCATTGCTAAGGTTGTTACTTTGTATCCATGACTGCTTGCTTATCATATACTTGTTTAATTACTTTTCTGAGAAAACAAATACTAACATGCAGCAATCGATAAATGAGAATATAATTTATAGATCAAATGAAGTTCTGAAGGAACTGAAAGTTATGGCCGGTATGCCGAATGCAGAACACAGTGAGAACAGCGATGATGAAGACAAGGTGATTTGATTTGTTCCTTATAACGAACCATCTTATTTGAATCTGTATCTAAATTGCATTTATGATTGTGATAATATTAATGATAATGAATGCTTACTTATCAAGGAGGCACTTTGCGAAGAGGCAGCAATGCCACTGGAGTCATTACTAGAGAAGTATGGATTTGCATTTCCAAGAAATCATAATGGTAGGGCGCCTATGAATTTAGAGGATTTGTATGCTCTCAGAGATATACACGAGAGGGAAATGGCCAGGACTGAGGTACATGCTCAATATTTTTACTTATTATTATACCTAATAATGCTTAGTGCTATTGTATATTGCTGTTATTATGATTAATTGTTGCTCATTTAGTTTTAGTGTTAAGTTGACGAGCGACTGCAATGAAATGCACAAATTTGAAGTTGCAGGAAGAGGTCGTGCAGAAAAAAGAGAATGGATGTGAAGTGGCGGATGCTTCGAGTCATGATAACGATGCTGATATGACGACGAGAGATGGCAACGGCAATGCTGACAGCGACGTTCGACAGGACGATAAGAAGAAGAAACGACTTTGTGAATCACCCATTGGAGATGCAGCAAAAAGAACCAAATCGTCTGACAACACCAACGACAATCGTTTGTTTCCATTTATTTCGTTTCTTGTGGACTATGTCAGGTAATGAATCGATATTGCAGAAGATAACAGCGAGTCGTCAAGTGTGCTTGCGCGTAGACATTGCTTCTCGGAATCACATTCCTCTGCTTGTACCACTTCTGATGACAGCACAATTCATAATAATGGGTTGGTTCACTTCATTTTCCTTCTTTCATTTCTTATTCATTATTGCAGTTCAAGTGGAATCAGTTCAAAGAAATAAGTGTATGTATAAGTTACACGTATAAAAACAATAACAAAAGAGAATATAACTATAATATAAGAGTACAAAAAACATGATATCTATAAGTATAAGAGAATACAAAAACATGATATAAGAAGAAATATTGCAGTCTAACCGCATCAACGAGACGAGAAAGAGCCTCGAAAAGCGAATCAGAAGCGGCCGAGATAGAGAAGGAGGGCAAACAAGAGATAAAGCACGCCCCAGATATGAGACAGATAGCCGAGCAGTGTCGTTCGGACAAGCCACAGCCATCGGCCACACCAGAAACCCAAACGGCCGTCTCGTCGGACTCAGAGCAGTCGGTAGACGATGACTATCATGAAGACGAGGAAATGAGTGAAGAAGAGGAATCCGATGAGGTCGACGACGATGAGGATGCCGCGTATAACGGTCCGACCGGTGATACGCCTGGCGAGGACTCTGGAACTACGGCGTGTCTGTTGGCGCTTTTCAAGGACAAGGTGATCGTGGCGAATGCGGGCGATAGTCGTGCGGTGCTGTGCAGAAACGGAGTGGCGGTAGACTTGTCTATAGATCACAAACCCGAGGATGAAAGTGGTATGTACGGAAGTGTGTTGCTTGTCTCGTTTATTGAATGCTTGTTGATGTTTGCAGAGAGAACGCGAATAGAGGCAGCTGGAGGCGAAATTAGTTTGGACGGACGAGTCAACGGTGGTCTCAATCTTTCGAGGTATGTGAGTTTAGTGATCGAGATCGGTTACGGTTATCGTAAGTGGCATGATTTCAGAGCACTTGGTGATCACTTCTATAAGAAGAATGGATCGTTACCACTGAAGGACCAAATGATCTCGGCTCAACCAGATGTAAAACTGTATCCGATTGAACCAGAAGACGAATTTGTTATTATTGCATGTGACGGAATATGGTATCCATTTCATCATTGTTTATGTTAGGGTTAATTACAAGCTGAAGGGCTCCCTTCTTAAAATGGGCGAATTCAAGTGCGAATTAATAGCGATGATGTTGGTCAAAGAATTCATTCGTCCAATCATTTTATTCTACAAAAAAAAACAACAAAACAACGATAATACATTTCAACAATGCATCACATGAGTACACTGAATGTTTAGTACAACTTTAATAGTTCCATAATTTTTACTGTTCATAAATTATTACAGAAAGATTAAAAAATAAGAGTGATGATTAGCAAAGATAATGAGTGATTGCGAACTTTAAAGGAACTCGATGAGCAGTCAAGAAGCAATTGATTTCATTCGAAAGAGGATATCGGATGGTGTGGCAATAAAAGATATTTGTGAACAGGTTATTAATAGTCATTTCATTAAAACAACCTAATGAACTACCTTCAAATATTTTCGGATGATGGATACGATAAAAATGTTATCAAATGCCATGCGAAAGATTCACAAAAAGAAATCTTTCAGATGTGTAACGAATGTTTATCACCGAACACAGCTGGTGATGGAACAGGATGTGACAATATGACTGTAATTGTGGCCGAATTAATGCGACAGTAGTCGTAATACTAAATTATCATATTTCTTCATTCAGTTCAAATTCAACTCAGACTTGTTAATACTATAATATGTTATATCTTATTACAAAACATCCACAATTCACTCAGTTATATGAAATTGATAAGGCGCAATACATTATATTATAACTATCGAGTAAGGATAAGAGTCGAAGAGGACGTCAAAATATTGTTCCCTTTTAATCTATTTGGTATTCATTTGATTTCATTTTATATCTTTGTTCTTTTTTTTTCATTTGTCACCATCATTTTTTCGACTCGCTCCCCTCTTTGTCGTTTGCATCCGAAAATCGAGATCTGATTCCCTCTTTATCGAAGAAGTCTGTCAGTTCACCTTCTTTGTGCATCTGTACCAAAATGTCGCATCCTCCGACGAAATTACCGTTCACGAACACCTCAAATTATAATAAATATTTTCATTAGTTCAGCTGTCACTATTTCATTATTAATGTAACTAATATATGGATTTTTATTTGGATTTTGTTGTTGCATTCATGCTGAAAAAAGAGTGATTTTTTGTTGTGAGCGAAAGCTGAGTGTTTTGGAAAGGAAGTGGTAGTGCTTATGCGCAGATATAAGACGAGTTTTTGATGTGATTATTGATGAGTGGTGATCGAAAAAAGACTGAAAATTGTGTCGATTGATCGGTCGGTCGCTTAATTTGTTTACGTGAGGATTATCAGTGGAACTATTGTTGTTGAGATGACTTAAAATTTTGATTCCATTTTCATCTTTTCTCGTTTCATTTTGTAAAACAACACACGGCTTTTCTCTGTTTAGTTCGTTTGTAGAACTGAATAAATGAATTAGAAATTTTTCGACTGGAAACATTTCGTTGACATTGTACTCTTATTATATAGATGCACTGCAGTTGGATGCGAAAAATGTGATGGTTCATTTAATAATTTTGCGTATAGAAATCAGAATATTCGAATGCTATAATTGTGAGTTTATTAAATTGATCCACTCGAATTCTTTATCCAGTTCTTTTGAACTTGTCGGCAAGCAAACCAATTGACTCACTTGAGGTATCGTTGGCCAATCGCTGAATTTCTTGATGCCCTCACGGACGGCTTCATCATCCAAAACGTTGTAATCTTTGAATTTAATCTCATGAAAATCTAGCACCTGAAATATAATATATTCAGTCTACTATGAGGATTTGGATCCGTGTTTCGACACCAAAGATTCATTTGCAGCATCAAAATTAAGCGAAAGGACTGATGTTA